CCAGATTTTTCCTTGGGACGAGCTCCTGATTCTGAGCTGGGTTTTGACGGTCCCGGGGGCCCCAGGGGCAGAACAAATATGAAGGCGCCCCAGGACACACAAATAAATACACACAAATAAAACAATTCCCCATATTTCCCCATATTTTCTGGGTTTTTGTCTTCCCCCCCACTTCCCATATTTTCCCATATTTTCCTGGGAACCGACGATTAATTGTGTCTGTGTGTTTTTTCCTCTCCTGAAAATAAGGAACACATTTCTGTCATGTTTTTATGATTTGAAAGGGTCTGGGACTGTCGACCCCGCTCTCCCCTCCCGCGGGGCGAGGGCTGCGAGCGGAGTTGGCGGCACGGGGCTCTCTCTCGCCACGTCGGTGGGGGGGTCCCGAGGGCAGTGGAGGCTGGAAGCGGCGGGGAAACCGTCAGGACCCCTTTCCCTCAGGACCGAACGCGTGCGCGAGGGGGGGTCAAGGCAAGTAGGGCTTTGCAAACGCTTTCACAGGCGATCCGACGTTGCGTGCGGAACGCCTGAGTTCAAGCTTGCTGCTCTAAACCTCCTGAACCCATTTCCATCTGGACCCCTTTCCATCATGGCGAATCCTCCCCAAGTTTCCCTTCTGAGCCCGTTTGACCGCTTGACCGACTCAAGCTCGAGGCCGCCTCACCCCGAACGGTAGACCTGAGCTCTGGCAGAACTGAGCTCGGTCGGCTGCTCACTGGGCGACCGCACGGTCTCGGACGCCGAACGGCCTCGGAAGCAAACCCCGGTGGAAGGGGACCCCTCCTCCTCCTGCTCCTCCTCCTACTCCTCCCTCTCCTCCTCCTCCTGCTCTTCCTCCTCCTCCTCATCCTCCTCCCCGCGGCCGAACACGAGAAAAACCTTCAGGAGGCGTCTTAGTCCATGTGGCGCCCGAGCCCGACGGGCCGCCGAACGGACTCAAGATCGAGCCCGCTCGGCGGCCGAACAAGCTCGATGCCAGATTGTACTTGGGCACCTGCCGTGGCGTGGGCTGTGGTGCTGGGGCCACGGCGGCTGCTGCCTCTGTCGCCTTTGCAGGGGCCGCCAGATCCGGTAGGGGCCCGACCTGACTTGCACCACATCATGAAGGTGTTGACGCGGGTCATTTCCCCTTGTCCATCTGCCCCTGCTGTCTCTCCTACCACCACCCATCATATTTTGGGACTGCGTGCGTGCCCCCCCCCCTTGGGGCCTGGCGCCGAGCTCGGCGCAAAGACTGAAAATCAGCCAAGCGGGGAAAAATAGCGAGCTCCCGCAGAGCGCCGCTACTGAATGTCCATGTTCGCCTCCTCTGCTAGCAGCATGTCCAGCTCGTGGATCATCTTGTCAAGCGCCACGCCCGTCTCGCCCCCTGGGGCCGAGCTTTCTCCGAGGCGGAGGTTGGGCGAGAAAGTGATGGCGAGAATAATGGTGATGGCCATGCCGATCAGGATGTTCATGATTATGCTGCTGCTGCTGCTGCTGCTGATGATGATGATGATGATGATGATGATGGTGGTGGTGGTGGTGGTGGAGTTGATGATGGCGACGATTTTGATGATGATGATGATGATGATGATGATGATGATGATGATGATGATGATGATGATGATGATGGTGATGGTGATGATGATGGTGATCCCCAGGGCTCTGGCGGAATCGATCTCCGTCGGCGGCTCATCCGGCGGCCGCGCGGGCTCGGGGTGTGCCGAACGGCCTCGAAAGGGGAGCCCCGGAGGGGAGGGGCCCGGGGAGGCCGACACCGGGGCAAAGCCTCGAGGATCTCTCTCCCTCGGGACCCTTAGAGGAGGCTCACTCTCGGGGGGCCTTCCCGGAGCCACTCGCTCCACTCGTGCGTCGAAGCCGCTCCGAACGACCGAGCAAGCGGCCCATGGCCCAACCAGCAGCAGGCCGCTGAATCCAGCTGCCGATCGCGCAACCTACCGCGCGGCCAACAGAGGGCTCGTTTCGTTTTGGCTGCCGACCGCGCAACCTATAGCGCAACCAAATGTCAGGCCCTAGTAGTTTCGGCCGCCGAGCGCGCAACTTGTAGCGCCGCCAGTGGCAGGCCCTCTTCATTTCGGCCGCCGGACGCACTCATGGCGCAATGAGTGGCAGACCGTTTGGGTTTCGGCTGCGGGGCGCGCAACCTGTGGTGCAACCCACGCAAGGCGTTGGCCCTCACAGCTTCCAAGAGGCGACGTCCGAATTCTGTACGCCGTTTGCGCTGGCGGTGGGGCCCAGACCACCAGCGCCGCTTCTGCGCCGCATGAGCTGGTCATCTGCGCATTCGGTGACTCAGCGGGCTGGGTTCAGAAGGGAAGGCCTGGGGTCTAGGACATCTGCTCCGTAATAGACTCATGTTCCGAATGGCGAGCCGTTTTGTCTGTTTCTCTCTCTATCTCTCTCTCTTTCTCTCCCTCTCTCTCTCTCTCAATACATATATATATACATATACATGTACCTATACATGTATATATATATATATAGCACGCTCTCTCTATCCCTCCTTCTTGCTCACTCTCTCTCTATCCCTCTCTCTCTGTCTTCCTCCCCCTCCCTCCCTCACTCTCTCAATCGCTCGTAGCGCCGGCAGGCAGCTCACCTGGGCCGGGCCTGCTGGCTTGCTCCGGTTCGATTTCCGTGGCTGTGTCAACTATGTCTCAAGGTTCTCTGGTGCTTTCGGCGCTTATTCGTCGAAGATGCCCACTTGGGTTCTGCCCTCCCTCTCGCTCTCTCTTGTTTTTGTTCTCTCTCTCTCTCTCGCCTTCTCTCCTTCTCTCTCTCTCTCTCTCTCTCTTTCCCCCTCCTTCCCTCCCCCCCCTCGCTCGCCGCTCAGTAGCGCCGCAATGTGACCGCCCGCCGCGCCATCTCCACCTGTCGGGCCTCGGGCCTCTGTTTTCCCGCGCTCCGCCCCCGACCCAACGCGGTAAAACGACGCGAAGATCGGGACAGAATCGGATCGGGACAACTCGAAATCTCTGAGAATCGGCGGGTTTGGAGGACGTAGTGGGCGCCGCGGCCGCTCCAGAGCGTTCCTAACAAGGGATATGTCGACCCCTATCCCAGGCTTCGTGGGGTTTCCGAATGGACCAGAAATTTTGGGCCCAACCCTGGGATATACGATGGGGGGGTGCCCATCCTCGATAGGGGTGCGTCCGAATAGCCCCCTTGGGGTGTATCCCAGGGTTTTTCAATTTTTCTGAACGGCCAAACTTTTTGGGCGAAACTCGGGGATTCGGGGAGAAACATCGCCTGCGAGTTCCGGAACGCTCTGAGAGCGCTCCGGAACGCTCTGGAGCAATGTATCCCGATCCCAGCCCCGTTTTACGACCCAACGCGGAGCGGAACCGTGCGCGGCGGTGGTATCTGCGGCGGCCGGGCCCGCGCGTCCGGCGTCGGTGCCTCTCGGTCTCTCTCTTCCTCCCTCCCCCGGTGGGGGCCCCGTTGCTCCCAAGCCTCCCCCGGTTGGGCTCTCGCTTCGGTCAGGGCAGTGGGGTCTCCACCTCCTCCTCCTCCTCCTCGCCCCCCCCCCCCCCCGCCGCTCTCCTCGCGACTCTCTCCTCTCGCATTCCTCTTCGGGGCTGCGAGTGCGAAACCGTCGCCACTTTCGACGGCTGCTGGGGGGGGCCAACGCGGAGGAGCCGCGCGCAGATCCAAACGGTACCTCACCATCCCTGGGGGTCGCGACGTGTGATACTGTCGCCACTTTTGAAAGCTGCGGGGGGAAGCCAGCATAGTGGGGTCGCACGCAGACTCACGCGGGACCTCGCCATCCCCTGGTGGCCTGCGAAGACTGAAGCTGTCGCCACGTTCGACGGCAGCTGGGGGAACCAACGCAATGTGGCCCCACGCAGACCCAAATGGGACCTCGCCGTCCTTCCGGGGCTGCGAAGTGTGAAGCTGTCGCCACCTTCGACGGCTGCTGGGGGGGGGTCAGCACAAGGAGGCCCGAGCAGATCCAATCGGGATCTCGCCATCCTGGGTGGGGCGCCAATCGTAATTGCCTTCCCCATCCACGCGTGCTGGCCTCTGATCAGCCGTCCGCTTCCTCTTCGAATCTTATTCATGCATTTCTCCTTACTCATTTCCTAAGCCCCTTCCCCTCCCTGTCCTCAGCCAACCTTCGAAATCGGTCAGCCCGTGAACTCACTCATCTTCAGATTAGCCCTCGTTTTCAGACCAACACCCCTCTCTCATCTTCAAATCACCACCTCTCCCGCGACCGACGCGCGACCGACGCGCGACCGACGCGCGACCGACGCGCGACCGACCGCTACCGACGAATCGGTCGCGACCGAGCGCTACCGACTTTACCGCCGCGACCGAGCGCGACCGAAGCGCTACCGTCGCGACCGGTCGCGCCCGGATTTTTTCGGGATTCAATGATCTGGGTTCGTCCGGCCCGAGAACCTGGCCCCCCTCTCGAGGGATCCTGGGGCTGCTGCCGTTGAGCTCCCGCCTGTGAAACATCGTCTCGCCCATGCTCCGCCACCTCGCTGCTCCTTCCCGCTCTTGCCTTCCGGCGGGGGCCTTCCTAGACCGCGCCGGGGGGGAGAGTGGTGGCCCCACCCCACCCCTGTTCCCATGCGGCACCACCCGCTAGTGTGAGGCAAGCCGGAACGGCAACTGCGCCCCGCGAGGCCTGGACGGCACACAGTCCGAACCGGTGTGCTCTCCCTCCCCGCCCCTCCCTCCCTCCCTCCCTCCCTCGGAGCAGCATAGCGCACCAATCCGCCGCCTGTAGACACCGCGCCCGGCCAGCTCAGCCTGCCGTTGCCGCCTCCCTCGCCTCCGCCGCCGCCTCGCCGCGCCTCCCTCCCTCTTTTTCCCTCCCTCTCTCCCTCCCGCTCTCTCCCTCACTCCCTCTCTCCCCCTCGCCCTGCCTCTCCTTTTCTCCCTCCCCCTCCCTCCTTTCCCCTGTCTGCCGCCCACTTCCCCCCCCTCACCGGGCGCGAGTCCGCGCCGCCTTGCCCGGCGCCGCGGCGCCCAGGGCCGGGAACTCATCCTCCGCGGCCAGCGCGGGCGCCGGGGGCACGGCCGCGGCGGACTGCGCACCTCTCTCGCGCGACGAGGGCGGGCCTCTCTCTCTCTGTAGGTCGGGCATGCACCTCCACAGGAGGAAAACTCATGAATAGCTGGAAAATCGTTTGGGGGGCGATGGTTCTACAATCTTAATATATTCTTGAATATTTGTTGACGATGTTCCATTCTTCATCGAGCATCCGCCTGTAGGGGGACATGCCCGACCTGGGCCTTTCTTGGGTCTGCTTTTCGTCCCGGATCTTTTTGTTCGACGCTCCCGAAACACGAGCCCAGCACCCCTCTGGTGTAACAGGGTGGTGGGAAAACTTGGCCTCTGCTATTTGTCCCAGGCGCCGGATGTCAAGGCGTGCAAGTCTTGCATGCGCGCGGGGAGAATCTCGACGCCACTTTCTCGGGTTGGGAGGAAGGGGTGGGGAAGGTACAGGGCACGACTGTGCAAGAAATACAAGCAGCATGCGCGGTAATACGGACGATCCGATCGTTCTCCCGACCCCATCCCTCCGACCCGATTATTGTCTCTCTGAGCCACGTTTCTTGCAGAGGGCTGCCCCCTCCCCCCTAAACAAACAGGAACCTCTCTGTCGTTCCGCATCCATGTTGACCCTCTCGAACCCATTTGGTGTCTGTCTCGATCGAGCATCTTCCCGTCTCCAACCGTTGTGTCTCATATCGAACCCCTTAGGCGTCCTGAGCCGACTCTGTCGTTCGGCATCGATTTTTGCCCTCTCGAACAGAGGAGGCGTGCCCTTGTCCCCCTTCCAAGACCTCTGGTGCCGCCGCGATCATCGTTCGTCGCGTGGGCCTTCCCCCTCGTCCTCCTCCTCCTGCCTCCCTCCTGCGTCCCTCCTGCCTCCCCCTTCCTCCTCCTCCTCCTCCTCCTCCTCCTCCTCCTCTTCCTCCTCCTCCTCCTGCATCCTGTCTTCTCCTCCTCTCCCCCTCCTCCCTCCGTTCAGTTCCTTCTCCTCCCCCTCCTGCTCCTCCTCCTCGCCCATGCGCCTCCGGGGGGGGGGGGGACCCTCGCCCGGCCCACACGGGGACACGTTGTTCGCCTCCGATGTCTGCTGACGGCCCCAGCCAGAAAGCGGTTCCCCGAGGGCCGACAACAGGAAGGACGCAAAACAACAACCAAGCGCATCGAACTTGCCCAGGCGCAGGGAGTCGGGCGAGACGCACTCGAGAACGCATCGGTCACGTCTGGTGGTCTTGCTGAGCGAAGCATCCTGCGGATAGCATCGTTTGGCCTGTCCCCAGCCTCCACAAGACGAGGGGAGGAGGAAGAACATGGTGAGGATAAAGATCATGAAGCTGAAACGATATCATTGTGCACTACATGGCGCGGTGGCATTCTTGACGGTACGTTACCAAAACTGTGACAGCGGCGGTCAAGATATCAGAACGTCTGAAGTGGTACGGCACAGACTTCCCGTCTTCATTGAAACATCGGTGAAGGGGCCCAGGGACATACAAGCAAGTAAACACGAATAACAGGATTCACCATATTTTCCCATATCTTCTGGGTTTTCGTCTTCCCCCCACTTCCCATGTTTTCCCAGATTTCCTTGAGAGTCGACGATTCATTGTGTCTGTGGCGAAACATCGCGGACTGGTCGGCGACATGCCCTCGACAGCGAAGCCTCTCGTTCCTGGGCAGGGTGGGGCCGGCAGGCAAACATCTGCGGTGCACGGTCAGAGGCGGCGATCGGGGCGAATGGCCGAGGAGTGAGCAATACGTGTGTTCAGCTGCGCCGATGATCGATGTCTTCGAACAGGATCCCGGGCGAATGCGTGCAATGCCCGCCCAGGGGCTGCTCGCCCCGATCGCCGCCTCCGAGCACTGGCCTTTGGGGGTCGATGCGTCCCCCCCGGAACCTGTGCCCCGCCCCTGCCCCAGAACTCCTTGTCGGCGCGCACAAGGGTGAGGTCGGGCGTGCCCCCCTACATACCGATGTTCGACGACAAGTAAAAAATAGTCGACACAGACTCCACAAATAACAAACAACATAGGAACAAAAACGTCTCCACACTATGGTTTGAAACTATGTTTTGGCATTCCTCCTGTAGAGGGACAGGCCCGACTTAACACAAGGGGGTGGAGGCAGGGGGGTGCTTCTTAGGAGGAGGCTGCTCCTGGGAAGGCGCCAGCCTTACCCCTACAGGTAAGCCCCGCGCCTTCTAAGAAACAGGGGTGTTTCTAAGAAGCCTTCCCCCCTCCCCCCCTCCTCCTCCTCCTCCTCCTCCTCCTTCCTCCTCCAATCCTCCTCCTCCTCCTCCTCCGCCTCCTCCTCCTTCCTCCTCCTCCTCCTCCTCCTCATCCCCCTCCTTCCTCCTCCTCCCTCCTCCTCCTCCTCCTCCCTCCTCCTCCTCCTCCTCCTCCTCCTCCTCCTCCTCCTCCTCCTCCTCCTCCTCCTCCTCCTCCTCCTCCTCCTCCCCTCCCCTCCCCCTCCTCCCTCTCCTCCTTCTCCCCCTCTCCCCTCATCGTCCTCCTCCTCCTCTCACCCCGCCTCTCCCTCCCCCCCCCTCCTCCTCCTCCTCCTCCTCCCTTCTCGCTTCCTCCCTCCTCCTCCTCCTTCCTTCCTCCTCCTCCTCCTCTCCTCCTCCTTTTCCTCCTCGTCCCCCTCCTCTTCCTCCTCCTCCTCCTCCTCCTCCTCCTCCTCCTCCTCCTCCTCCTTCTCCTCCACTCCTCCTCCTCCTCCTCCTTCCCCTCCTCCTCCTCTCCTCCTCCTCTCCTCCTCCCCCTCCTCCTCCTCCTCCTCCCTCCTCCTCCCCCTCCTCCTCCTCCTCCTCCTTCTCCTGCCTCCTCCCTCCTCCTCCTCCTCCTCCTCCTCCTCCTCCTCCTCCCCCTCTGTGAGTGGCTGAAGCCTGTGCCCCCCCCATCCCCAGACCTCCTCGGGCTGAGAAGCAGATCGCGACAAGGGGACCGCGCCCCAGAGCTGTCAACAAGACGACTCGGGGCGCACAGCCGGCCCTGGGGCCAAGGCTCCAGACAACTGCGGGGTCCGCGCTGCGCAAAAACTGAAGGCTGGAGATCTATCCCCGCGGAAAGTACCCCGACACGCGAAGCCTTCTAGTAAACGCGCCCCAGGCAGGAATCGAACAAGGCAGGGCTGTTTAGCAATCGCCCAGGGCCGTTTAGCGAACGCCAGTGATCGGGGTCGTGGTGGCCTTGCCTCCCTTAAACAATTTGCGACGTCCGAGGGCTGGGACCTGAGACCCCCGACGTGGGTGGCCCCGAAGGTCAGGCCCCCGTTCTGCGGGCCGGTTCTTCGTGCTGGTGGTCTCCCGGGGCCTGGTGAGGGCTCCTTATAAGCAGAAGGTTGCCCCCCAAACCTCCCGTAGCGATCCATGGATTTGGCGAGCGGTCGCCAAATCCATGGATCGAGGGAGGTGCCCTCCCCAAAATGCGGCCGGTGCCGCCTCGTTCGGCGGCGGAAATCCGCGCTTTCTCATGGAAACGGGACCCTCCGCTAATCCACGCCCCCTTGATCCATCTTTGCGATCGCCTGAGGCTCATGGACGCATCGTCACGACAACAGTCCGAGCCCCCTCCCTTATCGAGCTTCGCTCTGCCCACATCCACGGCCACGAAGCAAGCGCAGGCTCCGCCCTCTCGTCGACATGGCGTGTGCCCGCTGCCAACAGCAAGCACAGTCCTTTCATCAGTCTGGGGATGCGGGGGCCTCTGCGGGGTCGGCGTCGTGATCACATCACGACGTCGGAGGCCTGGGATCGCGGTCGCAGCAAACACAAAAAAGCCTCTGCCCGTTGCGCCCTGCGGCGAACTGGACACGGGTACTTTCCAAACAGGTGGTAGTAAGTCGGGCGTGTCCCCCTACAGGGGGATGCTGGGCGAACAATAAGAGAATAGTCAAATAATGCCCCCCAAATGGGCAAACATAGACAAAAAATCGTCCCCAGCCTATGTTCTGATTATTTTTGAATATTCCTTCTGTGGAGGGACAGGCCCGACTTGAAAATGGTACAATGCCATCCAGCATATGTCGTCCAGAACCGACAGCGGCCACTGTTGGGCAAGCGACTTCCGCTTGAAACGGACAAACTTCACGGCGACGCCGACAGCGATTCCTGTTCAACTCGGCGAGAACTGCTGTTGGTCGACGAGGCGGCCAAGGGGTGTTCGCTGGATGGGCGTCGAGAGAATTGGTCAAGAAAGGGGGACGAAGGCGAATCCGCTGAAAATCGGTCGAAACTGATCAACTTTTCGAGCTGCGTCCAGCGGTGACGACGAGGGGGGTCTTTTCTCACCCCCTGCTGTCGGCCAAGACCAGTGCTGGGCCACCTCAGAACCCCAGCCGGCCCCAACGTTGGCCTTCGTGCCCCGCGCTGCAATGCCCCTGAGAATCGGTCCCCGCCACACGCGAGGCAAGAGTGACATTTGGTGCGAGGCTTGATGGGGCGGGGGGCCAAATCCAAGCGCGCCAGCCAGTGCTGGCAGGACCCCTGTGAGTCTGCACCGAAGGCCACTCTGGCGAAGGGCCACTCTTACCTTGAGATCCGACCTTGCGACAAAAATGGAAGCACCGCAGCACAACGCGACTGGAGCCGCAGAACCAGTCCTCCTGCTGCAGCCGTCGAGCAGGATCGACCTGTGAGCGGCCCGAGGGCCCGACAACATTGAAGAAAAACAAACGGCATAAGCGTCAACTCTTAGCACCAAGCGCGGATTTCTTGGATCCGCGCCGGACCCCCCTCCCTGGCGCGCGGAGCGCGCCAGGGGCGACGCCGGAAGCGCAGCCGGAGGGGCCCAGCGCGGATCCAAAAAATACGCGCGGAGCGCTAAAAGTTTATGTTCATGGCGCTTCTTCTTCTTCTTCTTCTTCTTCTTATGATTATTCTTATTATCATTTTTCGTATTCTTCTACTTCGTCTTCGATTTTTGAACAGGATCGACCTGTGAGGGTCCCGCGGGCCCGACACCAGGCCACCGCAGTCGGGAGCAGGAGGAGGAGGACGACGACGACGACGACGACGACGACGACGACGACG